AGCCCTGCCCACCTGCCAGGTGACTTCCCCCAGCTCAGCAAATACATAGCCCGGCTTCTGTAAAGTTTCCAGACATCATGGGGTGGGTGGACTTGCTTTGACTCCTTCAAAGCTGATCTGTGCTGGTTAAGCCACGGGTAAAGGGCTGGGGGTGGGGCTTTTGTTGTGGCTCATCACAGCCAGACAGCCATACATGGTCACTGCAGCTCTCGGGCTGCGGCACGGTGACTCACCCCAGGGGCTGATGTAACGGGAACAGCAAAGCTAGTGGAGGGCTGCTGAAACCTGGGGCCAGGAGCCCCAAAGTGTTACTGTCACCTGCCCAGAAACAGCATGGGGCCGCTCTGAGCAGACCAGCCTCAGAAAAGAGGTCCGGGGAGCTGGAAGAAGAACCGCTGTCCCTTCTCAGATTCTGGGCCAGGGTGTGACAGCCTGGCCCTGGGGCATCTCTGTAATGTGGTCTCAGGAGTGCACAGGACTTTAGTTCGAAACTGGGTCTCTCTCGAAAGGAGGATCTGCTTATTTTCATCTAGAAAATGCTGGCCTTGAGGCAGACTGCTGTAATGTTTAGGGAGAGGAGCGCGAGCTTATTTAGTCACGGCTTGTGCAGTGCAGGGTCACTCGGCACCAGGCCGTGGAATTTCTCTGAGCGTTTTTACTGGAGACAGTTGTGGGATTTCCAGGCATTAAGTGAGGCCTTTCGCAGAGAAACTGCAGCCAGGCCAGCAGCTCGTGGGTCAGGGTCAGAGTTCATTTTTCTCCAGGGACAGCCTGGGGAGGTTTCTGGAGGCAGAGGACTTCCCAACTTTATGTAGTCCCCTGAGCCTGTGAATGAGCGAGAGAGACAGAGAGACTGGCCCAGAGGTACAGCAGGAAAGGGGCCGATTCCTGAAACTCTGAGTGATGAAATGTCTGCCTTCCTAGACGCATAGTTCACCTTGCAGGACAGAATGAGAAAACTTAGAACAAACTAGAAAGGTTTTCATAAAGCCAAGTGTATCTGATTGAAAGATATGCCCTTCATTCTAAGATTATGTCATACATTCTATTTTTTCCCTTTTAAACTTATCCTTATTGTTGAATGCATTACACATGTCCCCCACTTTTGCCTCCATTGACCCTCTCCTCCCTGCCCCCACCCCTCTCTTGCCTTCCGCACACTGTTGTCTGTGTTTATTGGTTATGCATATATCCATATAAGTTCTTTGGTTTATCTCTTCCTGCCCCCACCCCCTTCCCTTTGAAGTTTGTCAGTCTAACAACCAATTTGTACTTCTTTTTTTTCATCCTCACCCAAGGACATTTTTTTCATTTTTTGTTCAGATAGAGTGGAGGAAGAGAGAGAGAGAGAAACATCGATGTGAAAAGGACACATCAAGTGGCTGCCACCCGTATGACCCAATCAGGGCCAGGGACAAACCGCAACCGAGGTACGTGCCCTTAGCGGGAACCGAACCCGGGTCTCTCTGGACCGCAGGCCGATGCTCTAACCGCTGAGCCAAACCGGCCAGGGCCAATTTGTACTTCTTAATTCCTTCACCTTTTTCTCCCATCTTCCCAATACCCCTCCCATCTGGCAACCAACAAAAAGTTCTTTGAATCTATGAGTCTGTTTCTGTTCTGCTTGTTCATTTGGTTTGTAGATTCAATTGTTGATAGATATGTATTTATTGCCATTTTATTGTTCATATTTTTTATCTTCAAGAAGACCCTTCAACATTTCATATAATACTGATTTGATGGGGATGAACTCCTTTAGCTTTTTCTTGTCTGAGAAACTCTGTATATGTCCATTCAATTCTAAATGCTGGCTTTGCAGGATAGAGTAATCTTGGTTGTAGGTCCTTGCTCTTCATCACTTTGAATATTTCTTGCCACTCCCTCCTAACCTGCAAAGTTTCTTTTGCGAAATTGGCTGACAGTCTTATGGGAGCTTGCTTATAAGTAACTAACTGCTTTTCTCTTGCCTTTAAGATTCTCTCTTTGTCTTGAACCTTTTGCATTTTGATGATGATGTGTCTTGGTGTGGGCCTCTTGGGGTTCATCTTGTTTGGGACTCTCTGTGCTTCCTGGACTTGTATGTCTGTTTCCTTCACCAAGTTAGGGAAGTTTTCTGTCATCATTTTTTCAAGTAGGTTTTCAATTTCTTGCTCTCCCTCCTCCTTCTGGCACTCCCATGATGCGAATGTTGGCACAGAGGTTCCTTATACTATCCTCATTTTTTAAATTCTTTTTTCTTTTTGCTTTTTTGATTGGGTGTTTTTTGCTTCCTTATATTCCAAATCAATGGTTTGCTTCTTGGCTTTACCTATTCTACTATTGATTTCCTGTAAATTATTCTTTTTTACTTTATTTTTAATTTTCACCCGAGGATACTTTTTCATTGATTTTCAGATAGAGTGGGAGGGACAGAGAGAGAGAGAAACATTGATGTAAGAGAGACACACCGATTGGTTGCCTCCCGCACAACCCCAGCCAGGGCCAGGGATTGAACCTGCAACCGAGGTATGTGCCCTTGACCAGAATTGAACCCGCGACTCTTTGGTCTGTGGGCCGACACACCAACTGCTGAGCTAAACCAGCCAGGGCCCTGTAAATTATTCTTTATTTTAGTTAAGTGTATCCTTCACTTTTGACTGGTCCTTTCTTATGTTGTTGATGTTCTAAGTTCCTTGAGCATTCTTATAACCAGTGTTTTGAACTCTGCGTCTGATAGATTGCTTATCTCCGTTTCCTTTAGTTCTTTTCCTAGAGTTTTGTTCTTTCTTTCATTTGGGACATGTTTCTCTGTCTCCTCATTTTGACTGCTTCTCTGTGTTTTTTTCTGTGTATTAGGTAGAGTTGCTTGTCTCCTAGGCTTCGTATGGTGGCCTATTGTAGTAGGTGTCCTGTAGGTTCCAGTGGTACATCTTCCCTGGTCACCCCAGATGGACCCTCGAAGTGCACCTGTAGTGTGGACTGTACATCTTTCTTTTTCTTTTTAATCCTCACCCAAGGATATTTTTCTATTTATCTTCAGATAGGGTGGGAGGGAGAGAGAGAGAAACATCGATGTGAGAGGCACACATTGACTGGTTGACTCCTGCACAACCCCGACCAAGGCCGGGGATAAACCACAACTGAGGTACCTGCCCTTGGCTGGAATTGACCCTGTAACTCATTGGTCCCTGGCCAAGGTTCTACAGCTGAACCAAACTGGCCAGGGCTGGACTGTACACGTTTCTGTTGTAATTGAGTCTTTATTGCTGTTGGCCTGTCAATGGGAGGGATTTACTCAGGCTGATCAGCTGCAAGGACTGGCTGTGCAGGGGCCCACCACACACAGCAAGACTTACTTCAGCAGAGCTGTGGTACCCACCGAATCCACTCCTTGAGCGTGTCACTTGTGGAGGCGGTTGGGTGGTGGTGCTTTGATGTGGTCTGGTGCTGTTTACAGGGTGTGCTGGCTCTGGGGCAAGGTCAGCCACTGCCTGTGTTCTACCCGGGGCCACCTGGCATAAGCTACACAGTGATCTGCAGATGGCTGTTCTTGTGCTGGGCTTGGAGGTGCCCAGGCAAAGCCCAGCTGTGAACCAAGGCTGGCTGCTTCTACTGCCAGGCCTGGGGCCACTTAGTAAGAGGTATGGGGCTCGCTGAGACCAGATGCTGTTTGAGAGAATTTAGGAAGATCTGAAGCAGGATCCAAGACAGGCCAATCCTAAGGTAAAGCCATGGGAAACAGCTTGGTGGGCCCGAAAGTTGGGTGGGGCAGGGCCTCAGAGAATCACTAGGGCGGGGCAACCAGTGTGAGCCAGGTTGCTGGAGTCCCAGATATGGGGCTGTCTGCCGCCCCAGGGAAGGGCTCACCAAAGGAACAACTCCAGGAGAAAGCTGCCCCTCCAGCTCTTGACCTGAGGCCAAACAACTCAGTTCTTTCCTCATATGTCTCTGGCACCTTTCAAGGAGCTCAGAGGGAGTAAGTCTGAGTGAGTCTTCTCTGGCCCTTTAGGAGGAGCTGCCTGGGGCTCCCGCAGCTGCAGCCTCCTTCAGCCTCAGTTCTCGCTGGTTTTACAACCAGAGGTAATGGGGACTTTTTTTTTCCTGGCACTGGAACCCTGAGCAGGGCGCCTGGTGTGGGACAGGGACCCCTCAGTCGTCAGGGAGGACCTTTCCAGCCGAGGTGTCCTCCTGATTTTTATTTGCCACACATGGGTGTGGGACCAGCCCTCGTCCGCCTCCACCCCTCCTACCAGTCTCCAGGTGGCTGCTTCTTTAATTCCGTAGTTGTGGGACTTCCATTCATGTCGATTTCAGGCGGTTCTGAGTGCTGGTTGTTCTGTAGTTTAGTTTAATTCTGATGTGGTTGTGGGAGGACGCGATACCGCGTTTACCTATGTCATCATCTTGACTGGAAGTTATATGTTCTTTTTTGTATAAAAATGTTAAACTGCCCAGGCCGGTTCGGCTCAGCGGTTAGAACGTCAGCTGAGGACCAAAGGCTCACGGTTCAAGTCCCAGTCAAGAGCACGTACCTAGGTTGCAGGTTTGATCCCTGGCCCCGGTCAGGGTTGTGTGTGAGGCTGCCAATGATGTGTGGCTCTCTCACGTTGATGGTTCTTTCTCAAAAAAAAAAAATCAATGGAAAAATATCTTCGGGTGAGAATTTTTAAAAAAATTAAACTGACCCCATCTTTTTTGGGGGTCTTTGCTGACAGTAATCAGTGTTTTGTGTTTGTCTTTTTACTTTTTGATGATGTTACCTGGCAAGACACAAAGGTGGCTATTTCTTGTTGGTCCTGCGATGCTTTTTGGGTTTTGGAACTTCCCTGGCCAGTAAACCCAGGAATCTAGGAGCCACGGGTCAGTCTTGGCTTGCAAAGGGCATCTGGAGTCATTTGCCTTTCATGGACTTCAATTCCCCCCATCTCCCCACATCTCTCACCTGGGAGTTCGGGGCTGAGTGTTGGGGCTGCGTGGCACCCTTTCTCCTGCTGACACGAGGGCCCTTTGCTGCTCCCCAGCCATGGATTTCCCCCAGCACAGCCAGCACGTCTTGGAGCAGCTGAACCAGCAGCGACAGCTGGGGCTTTTGTGTGACTGCACTTTTGTGGTGGACGGTGTTGATTTCAAGGCCCATAAAGCAGTGCTGGCGGCCTGCAGCGAGTACTTCAAGATGCTCTTCGTGGACCAGAAGGACGTGGTGCACCTGGACATCAGTAACGCAGCAGGTACCCGCTGGGGCCAGGGCCAAGCTTGTTGAGGGCCAGAAGCTCTGGCAGGCCCTGTGCCCTGCCAGCCCCTCCTGACACAGCCCCTGCCCTCCTGGGAACAGCACCTTTAGGCTGTGGGGTGCGCCAGGCCCCCACACAGGACCCAGGAGTGTGTGGGTACCAAGTTCCTACCACACTGTGAGGGGCCTGTTTAGACTGAGAGCGGGTGGGGAGGGGGAGCTGGCGGGAAGGATACGTGAGCTCCACACCGCAGTAGCATAGGACGAGCTCGTCAGGAGGGACAGACAGCCAGTGGGCCCTGAGTCCCGAAACCCCATTCCAATGCTAATAACTGTGAGGAGGATGACAAGAACTGGGGCCAGGAGGGGGGTCAGGAAGGTCTTGGGATTGAAGAAGGAACTGGTCATAGATTTAGACTCCCAACTCAGAATGCTGTGACATGCTGTGAGAAGGTCGAGGCAAGGTCACGTTCCCCCATTTTATAGATGCAGAAACTGAGACCCAAAGAGGTCAGGTGACTGGCCTGGAAGTCAGCAAGAGAGTTTATGGCAGAGCCCCCGTGAGCCAGTGCTGACACACTCTGGTTGGAGTGTCCTCTGGCGGTGAAGTGTAGCGGCTGGGTGGAGAGTGTCCAGGGTGGGCATTTACACCGTCTGTCCCTCACACGGGGCAGGTGTTCACACCCCTGACCTCCATTGAACACTCTGTTCTCTGTGCAAGGTGGGCTTTCCCACCCTCGGTTCTCCATGTGGAGCAAGCCATCACACCTCTCCTTTCCGTGTAGGGGGGCGTTCACACCCTCTGTTCTCCGTGTGGGACGAGCCATCACACCTCTCCTTTCCGTGTAGGGGGGCGTTCACACCCTCTGTTCTCCATGTGGGACGAGCCATCACACCTCTCCTTTCCGTGTAGGGGGGCATTCACACCCTCTGTTCTCCATGTGGGGCGAGCCATCACACCTCTCCTTTCCGTGTAGGGGGGCGTTCACACCCTCTGTTCTCCATGTGGGACGAGCCATCACACCTCTCCTTTCCGTGTAGGTGGGCGTTCACACCCTCTGTTCTCCGTGTGGGGCGAGCCATCACACCTCTCCTTTCCGTGTAGGGGGGCGTTCACACCCTCTGTTCTCCGTGTGGGGCGAGCCATCACACCTCTCCTTTCCGTGTAGGGGGGCGTTCACACCCTCTGTTCTCCGTGTGGGGCGAGCCATCACACCTCTCCTTTCCGTGTAGGTGGGCGTTCACACCCTCTGTTCTCCGTGTGGGGCGAGCCATCACACCTCTCCTTTCCGTGTAGGGGGGCGTTCACACCCTCTGTTCTCCGTGTGGGGCGAGCCATCACACCTCTCCTTTCCGTGTAGGGGGGGCGTTCACACCCTCTGTTCTCCATGTGGGGCGAGCCATCACACCTCTCCTTTCCGTGTAGGGGGGCGTTCACACCCTCTGCCCTCTGTAGGTGGGCCTCTGTTTGGAGGCTGTTGTCTGTGCTGAGAGACCCAGCTGCCTGCCTCTGTGCCAGCACAGGAGGTGGGGAGAGGATGGCCTGCCACCTTGCTTTTTGCAGATCCCTGGACCCTGCCGCTGAGAGGAGCGGCTGGGCAGGCAGCTGGGGCCAGGCCTTGAGGCGAGTCTGTGATGGCTGTCTGTGTCCTTGGCAGGCCTGGGACAGGTGCTGGAGTTTATGTACACAGCCAAGCTAAGCCTGAGCTCTGAGAACGTGGACGATGTGCTGGCCGTGGCCAGCTTCCTGCAGATGCAGGACATCATCACGGCCTGCCACGCCCTCAAGTCACTCGCAGCGCCAGCCGCCAGCCCCGGGGAGAATATGGAGGCCTTGGCCCTGGAAGGTAAGATTACTGACGGGCTTTCCTGAGCAGGTAGCTTTTGATGAGGGCTCTGCCTCTGACTCTCTCTGTCACCTCTCTGGGTCTCAGTTTCCTGTTCTGGCCTTGTCTGCATTGTGGGCTGCTGGTGAGGATCAGCTGCAGTGAAGTCCGAGAAAGGCTTCTTGGAGGGGCCTTTTGCCCCCCCCCCCCCAGCTTCCCTTGTGCTTTGCTGCTGTGAACTGGGCGGTGGGCCTGGTTTCAGGCCTTTGCACACAGCTCGCTTCTCCTGCACTGTCCTGGGCCCGATCCCGGTGGACACAGAGAACCCGCTCCTCCCTAGGCGCTGGCCTCTGACCAACACTGCCCGGCCCGTCTGTGAGCCCATGGCTGTGGTGTTCTCGGGCAGCTTGGTGCACAGTAGATGCCCTGTGAACCATTTGTTGAATGACCAAACCAAGAAACCACTGCTTAGATGTACCCCCAGCGAATTCTGAGCAACCTCACCTCCCAGGTGGCGGGCACTTGATGGGAAACGGCAGGTCTGTCCTGTTCCATCTCTAGGAGGTGACAAGAGAGCCAAAGAGGAGAAGGTTGCTGCCACCACGCTGAGTGAGCTGGACCCTGCCATGGGCAGTCCACCCATGGGCCCAGGCAGGGAGCCCAAGGAGGAGCGAGGCGGTCAGGCCGAGAGCGCAGCCAACGGTGAGTCGTGGCCCGGAGGCCGACTGCCCCCCATCTCCCTGGGCCCAGTGCGCTGAGGGGCTTTCTTGGGAGGCTCCTGGGGCTGGGAGGTAGGGTGGCAGCCCTTGAGCTCACATTATCCAGAAGGAGGGCCCATTGTGGTTCTGGGGTGCATTTCTGCCAGAGCAGAGGCACAAGCAGCCTGAGCTTGGATGTGCTGGTCCTCCCGCCCCGCGATCGCGAGCCACAGCCAGTACGGGGCCTGGTCCCGCAGAGCCGTCAGCCCCGCGTCCAGGCTCAGCTAGCCTTCCCCACCCCAGGTGCAGAGCAGACGGAGAAGGCTGACGCCCCCCGGGAGCCCCCGCCGGTGGAGCCCAAGCCTGACCCCACCAGTGGCATGGCTGCTGCTGAGGCCGAGGCCGCCTTGTCGGAGAGCTCGGCGCAAGGTACTGCCACCCAGCCGGGGCCAGCCTCACTGTCACGTGGCCCTGTCACACGTTCCCCCGCAGGACCCTCCTCCTGCAGCTGATCCCCCAGCCATCCTCTCGCTTCGGTTTTTGGGCCATCTTTTCTCATTCTTTTTGTTTTTAATCCTTACCCCAGAATATTTTTCCATTTATGTTCAGATAGAGAGGGAGGAATTGAGAGAGAGAGAGAGAGAGAGAGAGAGAGACCCCGATGTGAGAGACATCGACTCGCTGCCTCCCGCACGACCCTACCCAGGGCCAGGGACTGAACCTCCACCAAGGTGCGTGCCCTTGACCAGAATCGAACCCGTGACTCTCTGGTCCGCGGGCCAACGCTCTAACCGCTGAGGCAGACCCACCAGGGCATCTTTCCTCTTTCCTGAATTTGGGCCTCAGTTTCTTGGTTGTGCACCTGGCCGTGCTGCCCGTCGGCGCGGAAGTGTCGCTGGCGCCGTGCCGGCTGTCTGCTCAGGCCGCACCACTGGGAGCCTCGCAGCCCACTGCGCCCTGCCTGCCGTGCAGCCTGCCAGGGACCCCGTGCACTGAGGCGCCTCCGTCCTCCACGCAGCGAATGTCCTGTCCGCACTCCCCCGGGGCTGCCCTCGCCAGTGCTGCACTATCTATCAGCAGTGCCCAGACATTACCAGGCTCTGCTAGGTGCCCAGGCAGAGAGGGGTGTATAGCGATGAGACCGCCCCAGGCTTGATGTGGCCAGGTGCCAGGTTGGCCTCCTGGCATTTGTCCAACTCTGAGGTCACAGCCTTCGGAAGCCCCTTCTGCCCACCGAGCCCCTCAGTGCCTGCCCTCCTCATCTCAGAAATGCAGGTGGAACCTGCTAGGAAAGGAGAAGAGCAAGAGGAGGAGGACACTATGCCTGCTGTGGTCAAGGAAGAGGGGCCGCAGCTGGACAAGGGTGACACCCCCGAGGAGAGCGAGGAGTCGGCCAGCACGGACTCGGGCCAGGAGCTGGGTGCTGAGGCCCGAGGCCTGCGCCCGAGCACCTACGGCGACCGCACTGAGTCCAAGGCCTATGGCTCCGTCATCCACAAATGCGAGGTGCAGCCACAGGTGGCACCGCCCGCCCTGCCCAGCCCCATCCTCCCGCCCAGCAGCCCCCTCACACCCGCTTCCCGCGCCCTGCAGGACTGTGGGAAGGAGTTCACGCACACGGGGAACTTCAAGCGGCACATCCGCATCCACACAGGCGAAAAGCCCTTCTCGTGCCGGGAGTGCAGCAAGGCCTTCTCCGACCCCGCCGCCTGCAAGGCCCACGAGAAGACGCACAGGTGCGGTGCCCCGCCAGCCTCGGCCCCGCCGGCTTGGCTCTGGTAGGACCGCAGCGACCCCTCCCCTCTCTTCTGCCCACCAGCCCGCTGAAGCCGTACGGCTGTGAGGAGTGTGGCAAGAGCTACCGGCTCATCAGCCTGCTGAACCTGCACAAGAAGCGGCACTCGGGCGAGGCGCGCTACCGCTGCGAGGACTGCGGCAAGCTCTTCACCACGTCGGGCAACCTCAAGCGGCACCAGCTGGTGCACAGCGGCGAGAAGCCCTACCAGTGCGACTACTGCGGCCGCTCCTTCTCTGACCCCACCTCCAAGATGCGACACCTGGAGACGCACGACACTGACAAGGAGCACAAGTGTCCTCACTGCGACAAGAAGTTCAACCAGGTGTGTGGGCACCGCCCGCCTGCGCTCTGCGGGTGGAGAGGGAGCTCCTGCCTCGGGCTGTGGCCCTGGACACACCCAGCTTAGTGGGGAAGTAGGTGTGACCTACCCGGGACAGAGCTCTCCCCGGGAAAGTGGGAAGGCAGGTGAAGTCAGGGTGGGGTTCAGACCAGAAAGAAGTGGGGTAGGGGTGGCTTCCCTCATTGCTAGGACCTGGAACATTCCATTGGCCTTGAGCAAAGATGGAGCCATCCGCGGGCCCCTGGGAGGACCCACAACCAGCCATTCCCTGGTAGAGGGGCCCAAGGCCACATCGTGTGGGCGGCCCTCCTGACTCCCGCCTGGCACAGGTGGGGAATCTGAAGGCCCACCTGAAGATCCACATCGCCGATGGGCCCCTTAAGTGCCGCGAGTGTGGGAAGCAGTTCACCACCTCAGGTAGGGCCAGGCCGCCTGGCTGCCACATGCCCTCCACTCCGCCGCCTCGTGGTGCCCTGCGCCAGGCCCTCCTTCTGTCTCCACAGGGAACCTGAAGCGGCACCTCCGGATCCACAGCGGGGAGAAGCCCTACGTGTGCATCCACTGCCAGCGGCAGTTCGCTGACCCCGGCGCCCTGCAGCGGCACGTCCGTATCCACACGGGTGGGTGAGCGAGCCTGGGGGCTGGGGCGCACGGCAAGGAGGAGAAGTAGGTGCCAACACCTTTTGCTGACCCCTCTCCCCAGGCGAGAAGCCGTGCCAGTGTGTGATATGCGGCAAAGCCTTCACCCAAGCCAGCTCCCTCATCGCCCACGTGCGCCAGCACACAGGGGAGAAGCCCTACGTCTGCGAGCGCTGCGGAAAGAGGTCCTGTCCCACTGCCCCGCCCATGCCCAGGGCACTATGGGGTCCTTGCAGTCTGCATGGTGAAGGGGTTCAGAAGACAAACTAGGGCTCAGTTGGGAACTGGGCCAACTGATGCCTGAGCCCAGGTGTAGGTCCAGGGGCTCCCCCGATCTAGGAGAGGCGGGAGGCCCAGCCGAGCTCTCCGGCCCCAGGCTCGGGCAGTTCAGTGCCAGCCCCTCCCTCTGCTGCCCTGCAGATTTGTCCAGTCCAGCCAGTTGGCCAATCACATTCGCCACCACGACAACATCCGCCCCCACAAGTGCAGCGTGTGCAGCAAGGCCTTCGTGAATGTGGGGGACCTGTCCAAGCACATCATCATCCACACTGGTGAGTGTGTGCCCACCTGCCCATCTGGCCTGTCCCACACCCTGCTCTTGCTGGGGGTGGTGGAAAGGGAGGTACCCCCAGATCACAGCCTGGGTGTTGGCATTTGCCAATAGGTGGCTTTGAAGGCAGTTCAAGTGAGGACCCCATTTTCTTAGAGCTTCCAGAAGGTGCAGGGGCCACTGGAGGCTCCTGTGCAGCTCTGGGTGCTGCCCCAGAGCACTTCCTACTGGAAAAGACAGGGCTGCTGGGGAAGCTGGAGGCCACTGAGGTCCTCCCCCCTCCCCCAATGGCAGGAGAGAACCTTGCCTCCCCCCCCAGGAGAGAAGCCTTACCTGTGTGACAAGTGCGGTCGAGGCTTCAACCGAGTGGACAACCTTCGTTCTCATGTGAAGACCGTGCACCAGGGCAAGGCAGGCATCAAAATCCTGGAGCCAGAGGAGGGTGGTGAGGTCAGCGTGGTCACTGTTGATGACATGGTTACGCTGGCCACCGAGGCACTGGCGGCAACAGCTGTCACCCAGCTCACAGGTGCGGGCTATGGGCAGCAGAGTGTGGTCACAGGCAGTTTGCCTCTGCGGTGACAGTGAAGGGGCAGGTGCCTCTGGCCTTAGACCCTGTTGATTCTGCCCACAGTGGTGCCAGTGGGAGCGGCAGTGACTGCTGATGAGACGGAAGTACTTAAAGCTGAAATCAGCAAAGCTGTGAAGCAAGTGCAGGAAGAAGGTGAGAGGGGCTGCCCAGGGTGTGAAAGCTGGTGGACCCCAAGGGTCCTTCCCATCCTGACTGTGGCCCTCACCTCCCACAGACCCCAACACTCATATCCTCTATGCCTGTGACTCCTGTGGGGACAAGTTCCTGGATGCCAACAGCCTGGCCCAGCATGTTCGGATCCACACAGCACAGGCATTGGTCATGTTCCAGACAGATGCGGACTTCTACCAGCAGTACGGGCCAGGCAGCACGTGGCCGGCCGGGCAGGTGTTGCAGGCCGGGGAACTGGTTTTCCGCCCTCGGGATGGGGCCGATGGCCAGCCTGCTCTGGCAGAGATGCCCCCAACAGCCCCAGAATGTCCACCACCTGCTGAGTGAGCAGGCATCCCTCCTCCTGACTGTTTATTTAAGGATGAGTGGCCCCATTCCCTAGAGAGAATAAATTTGATTATTTTCTAATGCTGCCTGCAGCTCCCTGTGGGGGTGGGGTGGGGAGCTGGCAGCTGTGGCTGATGCCACGAAGAACTGCTCCACCCAGCAGAGACCTGCTTCTTGGGAAAGCCAGGCTGTACCTTCTGTGGAATGGGACTGGAGCCCTGGGACCTGTCTAGAAGCAAGCTGGCTGCTTTGCCCATCAGTACAGGCAGCACTCTTGTGACGAGAGTGTAGCTACAGGTGCCCCAGCCCCTCTACCTCTTTGGAGGCTTCTTACCTGTTCACCTCGAGGACCCCACCATCCCTCTCTGCCATGGAGCTGTTGTGACCCTACTCCCCCTCTGCCTGGGGGTTGGAAGCTGGATCTGCTTACCAGGATCCAGGCACCCCAGAGCCCAGGTCAGGGGCCATTCAGCCAGAGCAGCAAGGTAGGCAGAGAGAACCAGGCCCAACAGGCCACAGGCCTGGTTCTGTTGAGTTTGGGGAAGCAGAAGGGTTCTACACTGACTTCACAGTACCCCTGGCCTGAGGATCATGACCAAGCCAGTATCTTTTAGGAATATTTACTTGCCTTGAATCAGTGGAGTCTCTCCCACCAGGTGAGAGCCTGGAGGCACAACGAGCAGCTAGGAGCTTTGATGGGGAGGTGGGAGACCGCGCTACTTAAACTAGAAGCCAAAGCAGCTGCCGGTGGAGCAGGGAAACATGAGATGCCTTCTCTGCCCCTTTTCCATACAGTTTGCCCCCAGCAGCTATAATCCCTTACTTTAAGATAGTAGCTTCTTGCACCAAAAGTTTAGGTCTGTTTGTTTGGAGGAGCCCCACGGACACTGCAAGTGAGACCACCAACGCTGCGGCTCATGTTCCAGTCCCTGCCCAGTTCTGTTTGTACTTCAGCTACAAGGGCAGCCTAGCCCACCACTCCATCCTCCTGTCAGGAACACCACTGCCAGGCTGTGCCACTGCTGCTGCAGGCCGGCAAGTGCCACACCCAGAGGAGGAAGGGCGAAGAGTCAAGACACCAACGCTTGCTTAAGATGTTGAGTGTGCACGGGGGTGGTTTTACATGTAGTGCCTTCCACATTCTCCAATCAGAACCGTGAAGTGTCACAGATATTTACACGGCATTGAAAGACAGTTCAAGTTCAATCTGTGACAACGATCTCTTTTGTACAAAATAGAATAATCCTTGGGAGGATTAAGCGCAGAAAGGAAAAAGGTCCCTTATACAGACTGAAAGGAAGCAATAGTGAGATGAGGACTAGCTCTTCCCATAAGCCAAGGACACTTACTTGGTCTTCCCACCCAAGTGACAATCACACCCACACTCGACATGTTTTGTATTTTTTAATAAAGTTTGTAATCCAATGGACACACAAAACTGCGCTGAGAAAAACAGTTTCATAAATTAATAAGTGTTAGGAAGTTGTGGGGAGAGGTCAAGGTCACATAGGAAGAGGGAAGCCAGTCGTTCTGTAGTTCTTTGTGTGTGAGACACTTCCAGACCGCGGGCAGGCCCGTGCTGTAACGAAGCGCACTTATACAAATGAGTGACAATACAAAGTCTGAGTATGAAAATAAGATTTTCTCTGAAAACACATTTTTTGGCACAGATTAAAAAAAATGTATGTCAGGGGAATTTGATTTTTTAAGTCAGTATTATATATATTTATATATATTATATATTTATATATACACACATACCAAGTTCTGCATATCCCACCAAGAGAGAAAATCCTTCTGTTTGCTCTTTCTCGATTGTAAGCTGTACATCCTGGGTGAATCAGATGGTGGTGGCAAGAGAATTAAGAAAGGTGACAGCCAAATGAGCAAGGGGAAGGGAGGGAGTGGGGACGAAACCCAATGAAATGTTCCTTGACCCCAAGGTTTCAGCAGCAGTTTGAAGTCCTGCATTGAGTCTGTGACGTGTGTTCACATACACCAAGACGTCCAGAGTGCCACAGTCTGTCTTCACTATGCAAAAGTCCAAGTCACTAATTTAGTGCAAAGGCAGTTCTGTTTTCTTGTTTCTTAAAAACAAACAAAAAAAATTAATTCCACTGCCCAGTTCCTTTTCTCCAAAAAGAGAAACCCAGCCCCAAGGTGTCTGCAAGTCCATCAGTTGGTGGTCTGTCCTTGGGCTAAATGTCTTGTAAACATACATAGTAGCAGCACCACTGCCCAGAAAGGTCTGTCCGCCTGAGCTGGGCGGGCAGGCAGGAGGGCGAGGCTGGCCGGCTGGCAGTGGAGTCTATCCATCTTCGGCAGCTTCCTCCTCCACTTGGCTGGGTTGTCCTGTTTGTTTTTTGCTGCAGAGCCTCAGGAAAATACACCAAACGGTGACCGACCAGTGGCTCACACAGAGGCAATGACAATCATGAGGTGGGGAGAAATGTTGGAGATGCTGGCAAGAAGGTCAGGGGCTAGACGGGACAGGTGACTCTCAGAGAACTCGCAGGGAGGGAAGATCTGCAGCACATAGGCAGGCTGGAGAAGGGGACAAGAGAGATAAGTGGACCCCCTGTGTTAACATCACCTAACCCACTGCCCTTCCTTTAAACGTATCTAACTGGAGGCCCAACAGAGAGAGCCAAGTTGAGTCAGTTTCCCAACCAGCTAATGTCTCCATGACTGCCAGAAGAAAGCTAAGTGTCAGAAAATGAATATGAACTAATTTCCTGTGAACCTCTTCTACATCGTTAAGCTCAAGAAAAACCTCTGCTGTTTCAGCTGTCCCTTAATTTTCTTCAGGGTGAGAAATAGTGGCCCCATGCATACAGTCTGCTGATTTCCTCTACCCAGAATGCCCTTTGCCCACCTCTTCTGAGAAACTCTTGGACCTGCTCTAGCTGGCACTAGTGGCCCATGCCACCAATTAGTCAAACTGCCCCATCAGCCCAGACCAGCCCCACCTGTGTGTGCACGGAGGAAGGGCACCGCATGGGGCTGACCTGATTGGAGCCAGGGTTAGGAACATTGATGATCCCTGCTGCCTGCTTGGCCTGCAGATAGGTGATGAAGGCAGCCTTGAGGGACTCGGTCTGGCTCACAACATCCTCTTGGTCACGGCCACAGGGCAGAGCCAGCAGCAGACAGTAATCTGTCTCCACCTGGGACAGAGACAGTTGTCAGTGATCAGGGGCCTCCGCATAAAACACACAGAGGCCTGTCCAACCCAGGGGATTTGGCTCCCATGTCCACAAAAGCTCCCACCTCTGAAATGACCTTAAAGTCCACCCTCAAATTTGTTGAGTGGAAAAAAAAAAAAAAAAGGCCTCGTGTTTAGAGGCATTTTACAATCCCAGGGATAGAACACGCCCATCGTCATCCACTCTAAGAATGTCATTGCTGCACCCCATGACAAGCCAGGGAGACAAGCAGCTGGGGGCCACCCACACCTTATATCCATGGGGTGGGACAGTTGCTCACCTGGGCCCCATCTTACCGTCATCCTTCGGGCAACCCCTTCTAGCTGTGAGGCCTCCAGCCGCATCCGCTGGGCAATCCTCAGGGGGGGTCCTCCTTCAGAAAGAGGCAGAGACCGATGGGCCAGGACGTTGTTGCCAGACACAAAGTGGAGCTGCACAGCAGCTGTGTCATTCTTCAGGGCCAGAAGGCCCTGCCACACGATGGGGTACTTCTGTTCATAGGGAAACAAACAAAGTGAGCTCATGGCTGGAGAGCAGAGCTATGCTGGATATGGCCCTAGGCAGCAGCTTGCTGGGCTAATTCAAGTGGGGATCTTAGGACACTTTAACACAGCACAAAGCTTGGAGGGCAGTAGTGGACAGACTGCTCCCAGGCTTACCTTCAGAAGCTGGACCATGTCCACAGGCCTCTGGGAAGTCAAGTGTGGAGAAGAATCTTGTTTGGGGGAGGGCTGGGCTTCAGTGTGCAGCAGAGCCAATCCTGGAGGGGTGCTAGGGCCAGAGGTTGTGGGGACAAACAATGGCTGCTTTGGGGCAGCCTGAGCAGGGAGAGGGCCTGGGAGGTCAGGCTTCATGGAGACAGACACAGGGGAAGGATAGGAGATCTGGCTTGTTTCTGCCTGGGTCCTTTGAACCTGGACATGAGGCTCAGCTGGTCTGTTTGCAGGTATGGTTGGGAGGCGAGGCTGCTCTACTCCTGTCTGGGTCCCCTTTGCCTCCTGGGAGACCTGAGGCATCTTGCTGCTTGGTGGCTGGCCTGGCTGGCTAAGCTGTGAGGGCTGTGTGGGCTGTACAGGCTGTGTGGGCTGGGCAGGCTGCTGGGCAGGCTGTGTAGACTGCACAGGTTTAGTGGGCTGCAAGGGCTCACCTTCAGGAGGGGGACCCTGGAGTTGGGCAGGAAGAAAAAGGGATAAGGTCAGAGTCTGTTATGCACAACACCCAGACACCAACCTACTGGCCCTGGGGCCCAGGCAGGATCAGCTGTGGGCATATCCTCTCCACTAGGCCCACGGAAGGGGCTTTAACCAGTTGGTGATGCTCAGGCATTCAGGATTGAGGGTCCTGGTAAGGGGAGCTAACATGCTCCCTCTCCCCCCACACATGCAGGCAGAAGACACCACTCTGCCTATTCCCACAAAGAGCTGCTTCCTGTGTCCCTAAGCTCCCTGTGCTGTGATCTGATCCCTTCATCCTGAAATTAAGGAAGTTTCTCTTTAAACCCACGGAAGAGTGACATACTTTAGAGACCACACTGGCACCTCAATCACTATTTGCATTGGAAGGCTGATTTGTGGTGCTCTCACCTGAGTGGGAGCCTTGGTCCGGGAAGGCAGGCCAATGGAGGCGGTGGCAGGAAACTGAGTGTGTGTGAGCTGAGCCGGGCCATGGTAGGTGCGGATGTCTCCGTATCTGTACTCCTGAAATAACTCTCCCCCACTGGAGTGTACAATCTGCACCCCGTGGGTCACCACCACAGGTGGGCTCAGAGGCAGCCCCTGGAGCTGGTTGCTGGGGGTGACTGTGAGGATTCGAGCCTCGCTGTGAGGGGTAGGGGCAGGGGCTGCTTTGGCATCTGTTGTCTTGGCAGCTTCTTTCCCTGGCTGCTGAGGGGCCTTGCTGGCTGGTGGAACCTTCACTACACCGTCTGCTGCCCGGGGCTGCTCACTGACTGCTGTCACATGGGGATGCACCATGATCCTCACATCCCGGGGCACAGTATACGGATGCAATCGATACTCAGACTGCATGACCAGCACTTCTGACTG